TTCAAGTGTAAAAAGCATTCCTGGCAAAAAGCGTTCGAACACCTTTTAAAAAATGGAATGATATTTTTAAAACTGTACCAAATGACTTCAACATTTTTTTTAAATGTTAAAGAGGCTAGTTTACTTTACGATGACTAAAATACTTTTTCTTAATTTTTCTATTACTTGAAACGACAAACAAATATAAAAAAAGAACTCGTTTTTCAACTCTGTTATTGAAAATCTTTTAAACTGCAAATTCGAAAGATTCATCCAAATCGGTCGACGTTGTTACAAGTTGCAAACAATTAACACTATGTTTACAGAATCCGTCAATATAGCGGCTCACTAATTTTTTAATTTTTAATGTTTTGATTTATTCAATGTATACGTATGTTACTTGCGGCAAATATTACAATAACGTTTGTTAAAAATCAGAATAAATGTCTAAAAACGAAAACAGTCTAAAGTAACAATCTTTTATGAACTAACATAAAACAGCTGCTTTTTGTTCTCTGTAAATCTAGTGTCAGAGATCGTGAAAATCGCAGTTTCTCACGGATTCCAACGCAAAACAGATAATTTTTTCATGTTTAAGTAGCTGTAGCTTGACTACGCGTTCCCCATGGATTCGCCATAAAAATCACAGAGCGGACAGCCAAGGATCGAGATTCGCATCGGACATTGGGACCTAGTAATCACGTCGGGACTCGATTTAGCCGTGTTTCGTATTTTACGTAACTTTCACCGCGACGACGGCAAGGTAGAGGTGAGAATGCAACGGTATTCTTAGGCACTGGGAAACCGAGAGCGTGGTCCAAGAAATGTCGCGAACCGCCGAAGCATCCGTGACAGAGAGCCGGTGTTTTTCACGGAATCGTTGGGAACACGGTCAATCAACGGTCCATGCCAGAGGGAACGCTCTCGTCCGTCATAGTAAATTTAGCCACCGTTACGCCCGGTTCCACGAAAACACACAGGGTGTCCCAGAACTCTTGTCACATCTCGGTAATTTCCTGAGGCGATTTCGTTGGTCCGATGTGGATATTGTTATGTGTTCTAGATATTCATCACATGACATATTTTATGCGATCTTCTATTCTATTTTATTGTATTGTATTATATTATATGTATGTAAAATAAATAAAAACAATAAATCTATAATATTAAATATATACATATATAATATTATAAACTCATTGTTTTTATTGAAATGCTACCAAGCACGATATAATTGCGGTTACTGTTACCATTGGGAATCTTCAAAAATATCAAATAAAAATAGTAATACGCACTGTGTAGTAGATAAATAAATATGCGAACCTCTTCGAAGATATTAAATAAAAATAGTAACCCACACCGTGTACTAGATAAATAAATTAACATCTGGGTACCCAATCTTGCATACCACTCAAACGAATACTATACGGAGACAGTAACGTAATAATGAACTTCTCAAAAATGCTTTACGATATACGAAGCAGAAGTAAAATTACAATAGATTTTTAATAATTGCCACGGTGCATCAGGCGTGCTCGTTCTCGCATTGGTCCGTGTTTATCGTTAAAAACTCGTTAACGAAACCGCAACCAACCTGTTCGCCAAGGAAAAAGTTACTTCGAACCGTCTCGGAAATCACCTCGTTTCAGGTATAACAAAAAGTAACGCTTCGAGTGCAACGTCAGTTCCGGGGACACCCTGTGCATCGTCCAAAGACTGAACGAACCGCGAAGGAAAAATCATCTCCGAGGCTGGCGAACTTCCTCTCCAGACGATCGTGTGCGCGTACGAACGGAAAGTAAATAATCCCGGATAAGCAGATAACGATGAATAATAAAAACGGAGGTCGACGGCGGCGATCGCGACTACGGGACACACACTAGCTCCGAAATATCGCTAGCGATCGATATAGCACGCGCTCCGATAAAAACGTGATCGATCAACTGCGTGGCGAAACCGTTCTGTTCGGCTTCCGGCGGCGATCGGACCACCGATCGCTGTTTCCGAAATTAATTTATTATCATTCGAACGTGTTTGTCCACAATGCGTACCGGGTATAGCTAAAATGAACGAAAATTTTCTTTGGTTTTTTGATAGATATGTGTTTTCTATATTTTAACAGAATCTTCTGCTTATTTGTAATCATTTGTTCTATTTCTGGAATCTTTATCATTTTCAGTGTGATCTACTTATTTCTGCTATAAAATTGCTAAATTTCTTTATAATATCGTAAAGGGATATTCATTATTATTTATTCTAGTTATATTGGTTTAAGAGTTTTTTTATTGTTTATATATATACATATATATATATATATATATATATATATATATTTGTTATAAATTTAAGAAATTT